TCTACCATAATCCATTTTATTTGTTCAGGTAGTATCCATTTATGTAACTTTTTCAGCTTAATAAAGGAACATAACACAGCCTTAAGCAAATGGCCATACCATCCATCAATTCAGTGTTTCAGGAGATGATACCTGAATATACTACCTATGAATATAGAACCATTGTTCAGCTTTTCCACCAGCAGCATTTTTTTTTTTTTTTGCAGGGTTCCCATATTTCCTGTTAGGAAAAGGCTGAAGGCTTTAAGTAGCTGTGATAGGAGACACTTTGAACTATGTACACTTAATCCCTCCTTGAGCAGCATAGTCTTCTGAGAAATACATAAATGAACCAGTGACACTGCAGTTTATATGCATTTTCATTTCAAGAAGATTGCCTTTTTATTGCTTATTTTGTGTCCATATTCTGAAACTGTAAAAAGTGTAAAAGAAATAAAAGGAGGTAGAAATGAAGGTGGTACAATTGAGTAATGCAGTCTAGGAAACCTTAGCTTTCTAAGTGTGTCAGTATTGCTTTTAATGTTCTGAAATGTTGCCAAATATTTTTGTTGACAAAAATACAGATTCTCAGGCTGCTCTCTGGATACTCTGTTGCAGTGTTCGATTTACAGCCCAGGAATCTGAATTTTGACAAAGATTCCAGATGACTCTTAGGATCAGCCATGTTTGGGAACAGCCAAATTATTGTTCAACCCCCTTTATTTTGGAATGAGAAATCATATACCGAGCTAGATTACATGATTAATCTAAGTTATACTGAATATCATTTTAAAAATTAAGATTAGTTCAGGAAAAAATGTTGATTGCCAATCTTTATGCTTTCTAAAGTATGGAATGGGAGAATATGTTTCTTAGAATGGAAGCCTTCTCTTTTGACTAGATCCATGTCATATAGAAAATTGTGGAAGAGGGCCTCCCTGGTGGCGCAATGGGTTGCAGCCTCTGCAGCATGGGTTCAATTCCCCGCTGGCCAGGGATTACTAGATCATAGATTTCCATTTTTAGTTTTTAAGGTAAATTCAGATTATTACTCTTTTAAATATTTATTTATGCATACAAGAACTGGTACAGGCCAGAGTTGCAGGGGGTGAAAGGATTCACTAGAGTGGGGAACAGAAGAGGCAGACTGACTGAAATACACTGCTGAGGGGAGGAGCAACGGGCGAATCAGGAGAGGTCTGCACTGCGATGTGAGTAGCTCCCTGGCTGGCTAGGGATTGAATTCTGCTGCAGAGGCTGCGGATAGCTTCACAATGCTGTGCTTAACCCCTTGCACCACCAGGGAGGCCCTAAATTCAGATTATTTTCCAAAATGACATCACCAGAGTACGTTCTTAGCAACATTGTAATGAGGTTTCTTTTTCCTCATCCTCTTAGTAATTCTTGTTGGGGGTCTTATTTTTCATTTATTTTTTCACTTTGAAATAACTTCATTAAACTTATTTTTATTGGCCCTTTGGTGTATGCCATTCTCATACTCTCATTGTTTTGACTTGACATTTCTCTTATTAAAAGTTATGATGAACATTTTTCCATGTGTCTGTTGACCATCTGGATATCCTTTTTGGTGAATTGTCTTTTCAGATCTGCTACCATTTGTTAACGGGGTGGTTTTTCTGTTGTTGAATTCTATATGCTTTTTATATACCTTGCATATAGCCCCTTGTTGCATACTGTGTAACTATTTTATACCATTCAGTAGGATGTCATTTTAGTATACTTAGGCTTTCTTACACTGTGTAAAAGTGTTTTTAATATAATGTAATTCCATTGTTTATTTTTGCCTTTATTTTCTTTGCTATAGGGGTCTTCAAAAACATCTGCATCACTGATTTCATTAAATGTTTTTTCTGTATCTTGATTATCCTTCATGATCTAACCTAAGTATTCTTACAAATCTAGGTTGAAATGTACCCCTCCTCTATGGACTAAGGACATCCTATGCTTATCTCTAACTTACTCCTCTCTTAGAACAGCAGTGTGTTTGTTTCTTCATTCTACCATTAAGCATCATGAGAGTAGAGGTGGTACTGTGGGCACCCAGCTATGACACACAGCAGTCACTCAATAAATATGTAGTAAATTGAAGCAAAATATTTTTAGTTAATGAAAGATCTTTGGTAATCGTTCTGGATTGTACTTTGTTTCCAATACTCCTAATTGAATATGCGTAAGAAAACTTGAAAAATGCAGTGAATTTAGAATCAGAGGGCTTGAGTTCACATTTTGTCCTCTCATTTGTTCTTGCATGTTAATTGGAGATAAATAATTACCATCTCTCATGATTTTTGCAGAAATGCAAAATTCTGGCATGATGTCTAGCACATAGGCACATATTTAATAAATATTAGTTTTCTTCCTGCATTATTGCTTTACTTCTTTTTATGGCCTTTAGTGATTTGAAATTATTATCATTGCCAATGAAGCTTCAAATCTGTATACTTCCTTAGTGCAGTTAGAGTGAAGTCCAGTATTAGTTATTTTTCATAAACTGAGCTTCACTATTACTGTATAAAATAAATGATACAATAAATCTTTCCTTTTTATTCTCTTGGGATATTTTGCTTCTTTTAACTATTTATATTTATTCAGAAAATATTTCTTTAATTTTATTGCCACAGGCTGAAGAGAACCTCTACTTTGTTCTTATTACCCAGAGACATCTGTCTTTTTCCATTACTTTGTAGTCTGTTTTCATTGGCAAGTATCTACTCTGAGAAGCATTTTCTTCCCCTGCATTATAGTATTGAATTTGTCTTTAATGCTTTCATATGGATATTAGAACCTATAGCTTCATATATTTGGTAATAGGTATAGGGCTATCTAATACACAAACTTTATTGTATCAATCATGTGGGGTTCAGTAATATGGAAAATTTTACTAATCAGTGGGTACCTAGTTTTTACATGTGTTTTGCAAACAAAAACAGTATAAAATAATTCTTAAAGTAACTGAGACTGCATAGTTGATGCTGACAAGGAAAATAAAAAGGAATGAAAAGGCAGCAGTTTGTTTGTTATGGGATGAGCTACTAGCTACAAACTACAGAAGGAGTTCCTAACGGGAAATTCTTGTCAGACACACTTCTTGGTACCAAAAAATTCAGGTTAAGTGGAAAAGAAAAACTTACAGATCTGGAAATAGCTAAAGATGATCTAGGCTACAAAGGGATGTAATCAGTGTCACTAGAGATAGGGTATCTGAGTCTCAATTTAACATGGTAAGGGTAGGAATAAAGAAATCAGTTTGTCATAAAGCAGCAGGCATGAGTTGATGATCCACAAGAGATCCTGTTATCACAAATTATTCTCTGGCTATGTGCCTTTTTAAGGGCTGCAAGCAATATGTGGACAAGTGCTTTTGTATTGGATTAAGTCTGCACCTGGTATACCTTGAACATTTTCACCCTCAAAATTCTCTCTGAATGCAATTCAAATAAAAACCTTTCTACTGTTTGGTGGGAAGATTCCTCTAAATAGGAAAAAAAAAAAAAAAAAAAACCCCGAATATTTGGAATCTCAGAAGGAATGCATTTGTTTTGGTTTTGCCCAGTTTGTCATGATGAAAATACCACTTTACCCTCTGGAAGAAATGAGAGAGAACTTTAGGGTCTTGTTTTCTAAGTTGGGAATAGTCTTTTGACTATTCAAATTTTAGTGAACAGTTATGTCTATAAGTACTGACCCCAGGCCTTTTTGTATCCATGTTGTGCGGGCCTTTGGACCACAGTGTCATTACTAGAGACAGCAGTGTTTGACAGTTCACACAAAGAAATGGTCAGAATCCCCCATGTGTTTCTGCTTCTACATCTCTTGTTCAGTATGACTTTAAAAATAAATGACTAGGGCTATTATGACATGTATAGATGATTTCATGATTTTTTTTTACTTGTTTTCTGTGTTCATTTTAACATTTTATAAGGTTAAAACATACATATATTTCAGTTCATTTCAAAAATTTCTTCCTGTGTTTTTGTGTCAGCTATTGTGTATGCAATCTTACATTTCTTGTTCTTGAAGATGTTATAGTCTATCAGAGGAGAGTATAAAGATAAATTCCTCAAGAAAACGATAAGACAAGTCATAGAGGAAATACTTGCATAAGACATATGTGCTAAAGGACTGCTTTGTCTGTTCATTGTAACAAATGCAACAGATGGACCACTCTGGCTCAGGAGAGGGAGGCTATGCATGTGTGTAGCCAGGGTGTCTGTGGGGACTCTGTACTTTCCACTCATTTTTGTTGTGAACCTGAAACTGCTCTAAAAAAATGAAGTCTATTTTAAAAATGACTAAAGTTAAATACTATAAAAGAAGCATCAGAAGGGTAGTAGCCAAGAGAAGAGGAGGCTTATTCAGCCTAGGGAAATGTGGAGACCTCACGGAAATGGTGACTTTTATAGTGAAATTTAAAAAACATAAAGAATTTTACCTGTAGGAACACATAAGGTAGAACTTAGAGGAGAAGGAACAAGAAAAAATGGGTTAATAGGTCAGAGAAAAGGAGCAGGAGGAGATAGGACATACTCTATGAATGCCTTATAATTCTGACTGAAACCAGTTTCAGGGCAGGCTACTGGATTAGTGGGGCAAGGTAGGAATTTTAGCTACTTTATAAGTCACGCTAGTAAGTTTGGAGACTATGTGGGGAGCAAGTCAATGACTGTGAAGAATACACTTCCTGTGTTATCTTCTGTGAAGATAACACTTTTTGTGGGCTTTCATTGTTGTTATAGATTATCAAGTTATCCTCACAAAACTCCTTAGAATGGGATAATACTGTCTTAGTTTGCCATTGATAAAACTGAGACAAAAAGAGTTTAAATTACTGCCCAGGTTCTTATAAACAGTCGGTGGCAGAGCAGAGACTTAAATCCAGGCTTAATGATACAAGAACTCACAGTGCTGGCCATGTCCCGGGGTGGTATGGATTAAACAGTCAAAGAGGGAGGAAGTGAATACAGATCACAAGTTATTATTGCCCATCTTTGTTTTTCTAGGTGTCTTTGCTAGGAAATAGACCAGCAGCTACAGTCAATTGCAATCCAGTCACACCTTCATGATGTTTTCCTTCACCAGAAATGCACTAGGAAGTCTCAAGATTCGAAGCATTCAGCAAACAATGGCAAGACAAAGCCATGCAAAGCGCCCACCAGATTTTCATGACAAATATGGTAATGCCGTGCTGGCCAGTGGAAGCGTTTTCTGTATTGCTGCGTGGGTGTATATGACCACGCAGGTTGGTATAGAGTGGAATCTATCCCCTGTTGGTAGAGTCACCCCAAAAGAATGGAATGATGAGTAACATACTTAGTTGCTGTAACACAAAATTATTTCCAAATCACCTTGCCATTTAAGTAAAGAATGCTATTTTTTTAATACAGCATAACTGAAGAAATAAAATACATATGAAACATTTAAAAAGTGATTGAAAATAGTTATTACAATGCCTGGTAATAAGGCGGTAGCAGTGGGTTGTACAGGGGGTTATCAATAGCAAACATTTGAAAGTACAGTCAATAAAGAATATATTCTTCTGGCTTAATGATTTATACTAGGCATCCTTTAGATATACACCTATGCATACCTTACAAATTAGTTACAGATCTTATTGAATCTTCCTTTAAAAATCTATTCATAATCTAGCCACTTTTCACATTCTTCATCTTTCCTAGTCTTAACTATCATACTTTCAGTATTATTATAAAATCCTCTTAGCCGGTTGCCTTCTTTTATATTTCATGTTTCCCCAAACCTGCATCATACACAAAAGATTGTCACACACAATTTTTTTTAAAGATTTATTTATTTATTTATATTTATTTGTTTGTTTATGCAAGCACTGAGTATAGTCAGAAGCGCGGGAGGGTGAGAGAATTCACCAGAGCCAGAACAGGCAGAGTGACGAACTACACTGCTGAGGGGAGCAACGGGCGTGGCAGGAGAGGTCTGTGCGCCATGTGGGATCCTTGCTGGCAGCCAGGGATTGAGCCGGCGCTGCAAAGGCTGTGGGCAGCTTCGCAGCCCAGCGCTCAACTGCTGCGCCACCAGGGGAGGCCCCTGTCACACGCGATTTTTTTTAAGCATAGTAGTGAGAATGAACTTTTCAAAACATTAATGATTATAATACTTTGAAAAGCAAGTGACTCCCCATTTCACTCCAGAGTTAAAGCAAAAGTCCATGTAAAAGTATACAGCCCCGCTACATGCTATGCCGGTCAGTTTCACTCCCTCATAAGACTTTTTCATTTGTTCTCTGCTTGAAATGAACTTATCCAGTCCTGTATGACTCACACATGCTTTCTAGGATTTTTTGTTACTTTTTCAGACTTTTTAGATCTTTGACGGCCCTTTTTAAAGGGCAGTAGACCAATCTACTTAGATTGGCCTTAGTCTACCCTGATTTTTCGCATTGTTCTACTTCATAGCAATAGCCAATATCTGATGTAAGATATTTTATTATTTATTGTTTATGTGCAAAACTTCATAAAAGCATAGAATGGGCACTTTTTTTTTTTAAATGACTCTCCCTATTACTGAACTACACAGATTAGGCCTTCAGTAATTATGGATTGAACAAGTGGGTGACTAGGTGATTCGAAATCCCTACTAGTCTGAAAAAAAATTCTTTATTACTTTGAGTTATCAATGATTATTCAAAAGTGTGTTATTTATTTTTTAAGATTTATTTCTTTTTGCATGCAAGTGCTGAGGTACAGGCCAGAGGTGTGGGGGTGAGAAGATCCACCAGAGACAGAGTGGGGAACAGAACAGGCAGGTTAACCGAAATATACTGCTTAGGGGAGCAGTGGGCAAGCCAAGAGAGATCTACTATATCATGTGGGTTGCTCCTTGGCTGGCTGGGGGATTGAACTTGTTCTGCAGAGACTGCGAACAGCTTCATAGGTTCCATCTTAACCCCTTAAACCACCAGGGAGGCCCCAAAAGTGTGTTATTTATTGCCTATTTATAAATAACCCTAAAATTCAGTGGCTTGAAACAACAAACATTCATATCTCACAGTTTCTGTGGGTCAAGAATCTGAAAATGGGGCCTCCCCGGTGGCGCAGTGGTTGAGCGCTGGGTTGCGAAGCTGCCCGCAGCCTCTGCAGCACCGGTTGGATCCCCGGCCACCGGGTGAGTGTCCCACATGGCGTGTAGACCTCTCTCCTGCTGCCCGCTGCTCCCCTCAGCGGTGTATCGTCAGTCTGCCTGTACTTTTTCCTGCTCTGGCTCTGGTGAATTCTCTCACTCTGCCGTGCTTCTGACTGTACCCAGTGCTTGTATAAATAAATAAATCTTTAAAAAAAAAAAAAAGAATCTGAAAATGATTTAGCTGACTGTCTCTGACTAAAGATTTCACATTTCTGCAATCAAAATAGTACTGTCTTGTGCAGTGCTCCTGTACTGTAGTCAGCTCAAGGCACAATTGAGGAGGATCCACATCCAGACTCACTCATATGACTGATGATTTGCTTCAGGACCTTCCTGGACATTGGCTAGAGACCTCAGTTTTTTTATCATGTGAAACTCTTTATAGGGAAGAAAAGTGAAATTTTTGTGGTTAGTATGTTCTTGTGTGAATACAGGGCTTTCTTTTCCCATAATGGAAGTGACTCAGTGGAATCAACCTGGCACTGATGGTTGGCTGATCACCTTTCTTTAGCCCAGGAATGCCTATAAATGGAGGAGTGGTGTTAGCTTTTCCATTTGGTAGATTTAGGGCTCAACAGAGGTTATCGACTTGACTAACCTTGAAGAGAGCATGTCAATATCGCTGAGCCCATGTATAATCTCCAGTCCTGCTGCATGACCTCTTTTTTTTTCTTTTTTTCTTTTTAAGATTTTCATTTATTTATACAAGCACTGGGTACAGTCAGAAGCGCAGGAGGGTGAGAGAATTCACCAGAGCCAGAGCGGAGAAGAGAACAGGCACACTGATGAAATACACTGCTGAGGGGAGCAGCGGGCATGGCAGGAGAGGTCTGCGCGCTATGTGAGACCCTCACCAGTGCCTGGGGATTGAACTGGTTCTGCAGAGGCTGTGGGTAGCTTCGCAGCCCAGCGCTCAACCGCTGCACGACTGGGGAGGCCCTGCATGATCTCTTTTAACTGAGACATTAGGAAAGCTCAGAGTGGCTAAGAAAAAGAGTGATAGTGGCTAAGAAAAGGCATGTGAATGGGTTATCTTGTCCATCTGATTATTTAAATTCTCCCGTGCTGAGTATCCTTTTGGTGAGTATATGAGCCATGGTTATCTTCCCAAGCTGACCATTAGAGGAGTCTGCTTGCATTATCTGTTCCCTAACTTCTCATCACTTATTTTCTAATAGTGTTAATTCTCTGACCAGGCTTATCAGACTATTAGTTGTTTTCCATGACTTGCTATAGAATTGTACCTCTGGCCATTTCGCTTTCCAGAGAGAACAAAAAAAGTACATTTACTACTTAAAGTGTTGCCCACCAGGAAGGTTTTATTTTGTCAGGGTCAGGCTGAAATGAAATTGCTGAAGATGTCTGTTTTTAGGTTTAACCAGCATGTTTTGCAAAAGCAGATCTGAATTATTTCTTCCTTGGTCAACTGATAATAGTAAACGTCCCAAGGAGTCATAGGTTCACATAACTGAAATTCAAAGTGACATGTAACTTAAACACACAAGTTATGAACAACAAAGCCAGGATTTAAACTTTAGAAGCTTTTCTTTTACTTCCAAGTTACATTACCTATTATCCTTTCTTTATAGAGGTCTTTATAAAGTCATACTATAGGTTTGATATTCTGGCTGGAGCTGCAGAATACAGGGAGCCATCATAGATTGTCTTGAAAACCGTGAGAGTGAAAAAAATCATCAAGAAAATATATCAGTGAGGAGACAGGGTTAGGGAAAGCATGTTGTATATAGTGACCATATAAAAATATCAGTTTGTTTCTTACCTTCACCCTGGTACTTTCTGATTTAAAATGAGGATTAAAAAATACCTCTTTAGGTGTAACTGTGTTTATGTAAGCATGTGCATGTGTGTGCATATGTAGAGAGAATAATGCACATATGTGTATATCAATTTATATAGACATAGCTATATATACATAGCCATGGAGATAGATGCATGTATCCATATGTATTTTAATAACAATTATTTTAAAGAATATTTGTAATTATTAACATTTGTCCACTGCTTGCTTCCATATTTGTATGTTAATATAGCTGTTAAAGGATTGAATTTTTTTCCTCATTTAAATTTACCGTAATCCTGTAAAGACCTTAAGCTGGTCATGTGTCCTTTTGACTAGAAGTATACACATAATTTGTCATGGGTTGATAAGGTGAAATGGAAGCCACTTAAAAATTAAGATAGAGTAAATCCATATATTTTGGCATTACGAATTTCACATATTTCCTAAGAAAATATGACCCTGAATTTTTCTCAACTGATAATGGGAAATTGATAAATAAATGGGGTGACTCCTTACAACTATTGGGAGGATTAATAAGGATAAGAGTTAGGCTAGAAAATAAGCCCCAGAGAGAGCGAGTTTGAGCAGTCTAATTGTGTGCAGCCACTTGAATGGAATTTGCATACGAGTTCCAGGTTTTCCTAATTCTTGCTTTATAGATTAGTAAATAACCAGTGACAAGAACTAGCAAAAAAATGTATAATTCTGACCTTGGGAATAAACAATTAATAGCTACATCTGTATCACTTGTCACACATGTCCTACTGATTTAACAGATGCATTTTGGGACCTCTTTAAAGATGTGATGGAAGAAAAATGAAGAGGATATTGCAAGTCAACCATTAGTAACCATTGTTAAAACAGATTTCAACAATGAATTCACCCCTTTTATGAGGCACTTCTGCTAATTTTGGAAATTGTTAAAGTATCACGATAGTTCCTCATTTGTTATAAGTATAGAAAAGTCCATAGTGCATAACATACATCATAAAATCTTTCATGTTTTGCTGTAACAGCAGTTGCTTTCCTAAGGGGATGACATTAATTTGAGCAGTATCTCTTATTTTCCAATAACCTTTTACATTACAAAAAAATCTGCAACTTCATTTTCTTCCCCTATCTGGAAACCATAGAAACCAATGTGAAATTATAGCTAAGAAGTTCGTCACTGGGCTATCTCAAGCTGATCTCCATGGAAACATTTCACATTTTCTTGAAATGAAAGATCTTCCAATCAGACACACAACCATAACTGATGGCTGTCTGACAAATATAACAACAACAGAGAAGTATATGGACATTCTATTAAATAATACATGCAAGAGTTTTAAAACTACTTTATAAATGAGGACATTTAAATGGCAAGTATGATGCCAACTACAGAAATGAAAATACAGTTTTGAAAACAATGTTCTGTCACTTTTAAAATATTGTTCATTCTAGATTTTTTTTGCATTAAAAGCAACTTCCTAAAATAGTATGGACTTTGAATTCAGAAATATCTGTATTCAGAGCCTAGCTCTATCCCTTAGCTATCTGGCTCATCTTTCCCATTTTCTTATTATAAAATTGA